ACACAGTGGTCTGGAAACTCTATCATGGTTTTGTTTTTTAATATTTATCAAGGTTTTTGTGACTGAAAATGTTTTGCTTTTCATTTGGTCATTCATTCATATGAGAGTCATGTTCTTTATAATTCACTGAATGATATAAAGAATATCTGCACTAATATCTGAACTCTGCACTAATAGTCCTGGAATTTTTATTCATTCATTCGTCCTTTCTTCACATTCATTATGTATTCATTATCTAGTCAATATACATTTATTGAGTAAATGCTTGACTGCATGCCAAACATCATCTGGCATGAACTCACATGCACTGTGAAAACAAACAGGACCTACAAATTTCGAACCAGATGGGGTCCCAGCAATGAGGTGGAGAAGTGAACACTGAGTCACAAAAAGACATTTGCAATTGATACCCACTAGCAAAGAGAAAATCAGTTTTCTCTAATGAAATGTCAGTGGGTATATTAACCACACTTAAGAGAAGGCCCAAACCTGTGAATAGCTGACCAACATAAAATGGGCTCTGTCTTTTCTTGTGGGCTTTTTCTTTCATTTTGTGTTATTTGAGCAACTTTTGGCTTACTGTTTCTTTTTATTTTAATTTTCATAATTTTTTGTTTGATTGATTTTGAGACTGAGAGATCATGGAGTTGAATGACTAGGGGAGTGACTGGTGATGATCTGGGAATAGTTGGGGTGAGGAATATCATGATTAAAATATATCATATGAAGAGAATTAAGATTAAAGAAAATAGCTTTGTCCCTTGACTTAAAAGAAATAAAAAGTTCTTTTAAAGTAGTGCTGCCCACCTGGCATGAACCCCTGAAGCTGTCTCATTAGGTCTAGAGTAGAGTTCACAATCTCCATTTTTGTCAAAAGTACTATAGGTAACTGATAATGTGCCACAAGTTAAGAATTAAAGGTTTATCTATCAGGCCCTAGAGATATTGGAGGAAACAAGAAACAGCTCCTGTTGTCAAGAACACCAGAGACAAATTGGCGAGTTGGGTAAATAAGGGGGTAATTGTGAAGAGTTTGTTGTAGTGAATTCTACCTGGGTTAAGCACACCTTTTCCCACATAAAACTAATATACATTGTCTTATGTCAGCCAAGTCTCTTAATGGATTATAAAACACAAAAAAGGAGAATTTATCCATTTATAAAACCAAACCACCTAAATTGTAGTTAATACCATATTTTCTGTCTTAGATACTCTATTCCATAATTGAGTGAATTAGGTATACTAGACTCTGTGATTAAACTCAGGAAATGGAAAAGGTAACAAATTCTATCTCTGATAAAAGCCCATGGGAAATTAGGAAGAGGTGAAGGGTTGCAAAACTGAGCTCCTTAAAGGCAGGAGTCATGTGCCATTTTCACTGATATTTTCTTCCTTATGACCTAATCCACAGACCAGCATGAGAAAGAACCGAATCTCATGTAGTTTTGACTTTTCCCCCAGTGGCTTGTAAACAGGTGTTTCTACCTAACCTCTGATACCCATGAGAACTCTGTCCTAACACTCTGACCAATGACTGCAACAAGGAAACCCATTGTGGGTCTTTCAAAATGACAGGATGTTTACTCCCAGCTTAATAATTAAAAAAAAAAAAGCTCGATTAATCCTTCATATTTGGTAGGCTTTTTCTTTCTTTTTTTTTCTCTTTCTTTCTTTTCTTTCTTTTCCTTCCTTCCTTCCTTTTTTGGTACTATTGCTAGTTGGTGCTTTGTCATTACTGCCTTGAACTCTGCTCTTTTATGATTACCTTATATTCTGTGTGTTTGTGTGTGTGTGTGTGTTATTCTTAAGACCTAGACAGAATTGAAAATTTTTTATGTTCATTTTCTGTGACTACATGCCATTACAAAGGTCAAATGAAACCTTCCTGAAGAAAAGCTTATTTGATTACAGGGGTCTTAATTTGTCATCTGCAGGTTTCTATGCAGTGTGGATATATCTATTATGAATATAGATTATGTAAGCTTTAAATTGTGTTATATAGAGTATCAATATAAATTTACTTTATGTTATCACTTTGAAATAAAAATAGATTTCTTCAGATTAAAAGAATTGGTCAAGCCGGGCATTGGTGGTAACCGCCTTTAATCCCAGCACTCGGGAGGCAGAGGCAGGCAGATCTCTGTGAGTTCGAGGCCAGCCTGGTCTCCATAGGGAGTACCAGGATAGGCTCCAAAGCTACACAGAGAAACCCTGTCTCCGAAAAACAAACAAACAAACAAAAAGAATTGGTCAGACTCCTCATAGTTTTACAGCTAGCTGACTGTCAGAATTCTAAACTGTGTCTATTCTGAGGCCATAGGAAGGTGCCATTTATCTGGTAAACAGAAATGCCTTTCATACTTCTAGGACTACTCCAGATATAAATTAATTACTTATATTACTTTGTTATAAAACATTCTTTTGTTATTCTCAAAATATTCATTGACAGTAACCTGAAACATACATTATGCTTGCTCTTTGCTTTACTGTACTTTATGGACTCAGTTAACATAAAGCCATTTGTGGATAATTCAGTAGTATGCTTAAAACTATATGCTGAAATGAATATCTTTGAAATGAAAATTCTGTTATAAAATATCAAGTTAAGTGATTACTGTGTATAACCATGTTCTTAATTTCTGCATAATTTTAAATATAATGGTAAGAAAGCATTTAAATCATTTAAAAGCACCCTGAAATATTTAATAATTACTTGGCTATGTGAATGTTTGCTTATTATTTGACATGAAATTGCATGTTTTTTATGAACATGCATTTCTCTTTTGAACATTGGTGTTGAATTCTGTAAACTCCAAAGTAGCTAGGAATCCAGTATTGTTCAAGGCTGCTCAAACCTGAGCTTCAGATAGTGTCTGACTGAATGTTGTTTAGATCTTTACAACTCTGCAAAACACATTTGTTAGTAACCCAAACTATTTTTCTTTAAAATATGAGGTATCAGTTAACAAATTGAAAGAAATTGACCTAGCTTTTCTGTTTTGACAGTGACATCTTGTTTCTGACAGACCCATCAGGTTGGAGGATAAATTTGTAGAGTCTGACCTTTTCTAGCATGTAGGTTTTAGAGGGCACAAAGTGAGCTCATAATGATGGTTTATGTAGATGCCCAGGTTCTTCATGCTTGTGTATGTTACTTCTCTCTTCTGTTTTTTTATTCTTTAATTACTACTCATATTTACATATCCATCCCCCCATTCACTCGCCCTTCCATGTTCCCCACCAAGCCCCCAACCCACCCCCTGACTCCTCCCCAAGGCCTCACTTCTCTCTTCTATAATGCAGTCCACAGAAAAATTAATAAACAGTGGAGGCTGCACCCATTCTGTGTAAACAGTATGAAATATGTGCTAAGCATACATATATTTGTATGATTTACTTTTTTGCAAGAAGAATATCTGAGATATTAAAATAGTAGGAATCCAGCCATTGTCTAAGATGTTCATTTGTAAGAAATATAGAATGAAAATATAAACTCTGGAATATTCACTAATAACACTTTCTTTTTTTTCTTAGTTTATGGATACAGGATTCCTCTGTGTAGCTTTGGAGCCTATCCTGGCAGTAGACCAGGCTGGCCTGGTACTCACAGAGATCTGCCTGCCTCTGCCTCCCCAGTTCTGGGATTAAAGGAGTGCGTCACCAACACCCGCCTAATAACACTTTCTTAAAGATAAAATTCTCATATAAATTCATTGGCATTTCTAAGATTTATTAACATCATATTTGCCAATAAAAGCTTATATAAAAATCATCATTTTTGCTTACCCCAGTGAGCTGTACACAAGTTTGGGCTTATGCACATGTTGCAGAGTATTATGAATGCAGCATCTTCTGCAGTTTGCTTCTTTTGCCATCAGATTCAAGTCTCATTAGATTTGTGATTTGATTCTTTTTCCTTCCTGTGGATTTTTAATATCATTTGGAGCAAAAGTTTTTAATTTTAATAGACTCCCAACTTATCACACTTTTCCTTTTATCATTCATGATGTGTGAATTTTAAACAGCATTTTTATTCTTATATAATTTCATGACCACCCATAACCTCTGCCTTTCCATCCTTTTCCACCAAACATTGAGCATTTTTCTCCTTTGCCCCCAAAGTCCAGTTTCTATTGCCCAAGGAGCCTGGGGAGTTGGGCCTGCCCTGGACTGTGGTCAGCCTACTAGAGATCAGGTTCTTAAAGAAAACCAACTCTTCCTGTTCCAACAGCTATAATAAGCCAATAGCTCCTCAGCAAGGGGTAGGACTTGGTGCTCACCGGTCCTCCTCTGTGCTGGGATTTTGTTTGACTCAGCTTGATTGGGTCTTGTACATGCTATCACAATCACTGTGAGTAACTTCCCTGCTGTATTGGGAAAACACTGTTTCCTTGAGTCATCTATCATTGCACCACCACTACCAACACAACGAACAATAGCACCAACAGCAACACCAGCTCTTAGTAACTTTCTGCTCCTTCTTCCAGGAAGACTTGAGGGGATGGGAGGGGTGTGATGCATAGGTACTTTTTAGGGCAGAGCACTCCTCAGTCTCTTATTCTCTGTTCATTGACCCACTGAGGATCTGTTATTTTCTTTGTTACTTTTATGACTTTTCTTACTATTTTTAGCTTGTAGAAGTTGAATTATGATGTACCTAGGTATGATTTTCCTTATTTTATTTGCAGCACAGTGCATTTTTTATTACTGTGTTAACGGTTTTGTAAAGTTGTGAAATTGCATATTAATATCTTCAAAATGTTATGTACTCCTTCTCTTTCTTTCTCTTTGTTTGATTACAAATGTTGAGTTATAAAAATAGTTATAATATATAATTTAAGCAATAAAGAAAAATTAAATGAGAATTATGAATGAAATGTAACAATTTGTCAGAAAATTTAGTTTTTTAAAATGGGTAAATAGTGCTCACTCTAGAATGTTTACATAACAAATGTTAATATTGCCCATCTTCTTTCCTTATTCTTACAAAACCTGTCTAGGTGCCTTTCCTCCCTCCGCTGTCTATGCAAGAAAGGACTTGCTGCAAAGATCTTCCCACATCGCTACCAAGACTTTTCAAGCACTTCGAATCTTTGTGAACAATGAGCTGAATGAGCTCTACACAGGACTGAAAACAGCACAGAAATTTCTGAAAACTGGTGGCCGCCTTGTTGCTCTGTCTTTCCATTCTTTAGAAGATCGCATTGTGAAACGATTTTTGCTTGGGATAAGTATGACTGAAAGATTTAACCTAAGCATTAGACAGAAGGTGAAGCAAAGGTCACAGATGGATTCAAATATTGAGAATGACAGAAGTGAGAGGGGCAGCTCTGTAAGAGCTCCTCTGAATTGGGATCTCCTTCACAAGAAGGTCCTTACTCCGGAAGATCAGGATGTCCAAGAAAACCCCAGAGGGCGCTCAGCCAAGCTAAGGGCAGCTATCAAATTATGAAGATCTTATTATTTGATCCTCAAATTTTCCTCCTATATTTCTATTTTTTTCTAATTTAAAACAGTGTTTCTGAACAGTTTAATGCAATGTAAAGTATGGGGCAGCCTGGAAATGACTGGTATTTAGTATTTTTTTTCTCTAAAGATAATGTAGGAAGTTTTAACATGACACAAAAACTTCCACTCAGAGAGCAGGGAGTCTTAAAACGGGAAAACTTTGTTGATCTCCGCATTGTATTTGAATTATAAAATTCAGTCATTTATTTAAAGAGGAAATGGAAAGCTACAGAGACAGCTGACAGGAGCTCCTTAGAACTCAGGGACTCTAGACCAACAGCTGGGGAGCCTGCATGGGCTGAACTAGGCCCTTTGAATGTGGATGACAGTTGGGTGGCTTGGTCTGTCTGTGAGGCCCTTGGCAGTGGCACCAGGATCCATACTCTGGTACATGAGTTGACTTTTTGGAGCCCATTTCCTATGGCGGAATGCCTTGCTCAGTCTTCATGCAGTGAGGAGGGGCTTGGTACTGCCTCAACTTAAAGTGCCAGGCTTTGTTGACTCCCCATGGGAGGCCTCACCCTTTCTGAGGAGTGAATTGGAAATGGGTTGGTGGGGGATGTGGGGGGAGCAGGAGGAGGAGAGAGAGAACTGTGACTGGTATGTAAAATGAATTTAAAATTTTTAAATAAAAACAACAAAAGTATTGAATCACTGCATAACTTGTTTTGGCTATCTATTTTGTTTGTGTTTTTATATTATAGCCAGTAGTTTATAAGTGAATAAAGTATGCCAATTAAGTTCTTGTAATTCATTTGTAATTATTTGTAAAATCACTTGAAACATTGCAAATGCTTGAAAAACACTTTCTTAGTATTTTCTTTAGTGGTACAAAATGTTATATATTTCCAAAAATTTTTAAAACTCATCACTATTTTTGTTTTGAAATAATAAAAAATTATTATTCTGTACACTTTCAAGAACAATTCTATCCCCTTTTTCATTTCTAATTTTGTTAATTTGCATATTTCTCTCTGCCTTTTGACTAGTTTGGATAAAGGTTTGTCTGTCTTGTTGACTTTCAAAAAGAACCAACTCTTTGTTTCGTTAATTCTTTGTATTATTTTCTTTGTTTCTACTTTATTGATTTCAGCCCTCAATTTGATTATTTCCTGGTGTCTACTCCTGGGTGAGTTTGCTTCTTTTTCTTCTAGAGGTTTCAGGTGTGCTGTTAATTCTCTAGTGTGACTATTCTCCAGTTTCTGCATGTGGGCACTTAATGCTATGAACTTTCCTCTTAGCACTGCTTTCAATGTGTCCCATAAGTTTGGGTATGTTGTGCCTTCATTGTCATTGAATTCTTGCACGTCTTTAATTTCTTTTTTTATTTCTTCCTTCACCGAGGAGTAATGTAATTGAGCATTGTTCAATTTCCATGAATTTGAAGACTTTCTGCAATTTGTGTTGTTGTTGAATTCTAACTTTAAGCCATGGTGGTGATCCGTTAAGATACAGGGGGTTATTCCAATTTTTTTTTATCTGTTGAGGTCACAGTTAAGCACTGAGCTGAACTCCTGGAATCCAGTTGTAGAGAGGGAGGAATGATGAGCGAAGGGGTCAAGACCATGCTGGGGAAAACCACAGAAACAGCTGCCCTGAGCAAGTGGGAGTTCATGGATCCCAGTCTGACAGCAGGGAAACCAGCATAGGACCAACAAGGCTCCCTGAACGTGGGTCTCAGTTGGGAGGCCTGGGCAGTCTATGGGGCCTCTGGAACCAGTATTTATCCCTAGTGCACAAATGGTCTATGGGGGGCCATTCCCTATGGAGGGATACTCTATCAGCCTAGCTACACAGGGGAGGACATAGGCAGTGCTCCAAAGGATGTGACAGACTTTGATGATCTCCCATGGAAGAAGGCTTCACCCTCCCTGGGGAGTGGATACGGGGTAGGTTGGGGAGTTGGTAGGGGGCATGGGAGGATAGGAGGGAAAGGGAACTGGGAATGGAATGTAAAATAAGATGGTTTCTAATTTTAAAAATTAAAAAAGAAAATGCTTTTAAATAAAAAGAGAACAATTCTAAGTATTCTTTTGGGGCTTTTTTTGTTGGTTTTCTTTTTGGTTTTTTGAGACAGGGTTTCTCTGTGTAGCTTTGGATCATATCCTGGTACTAGCTCTTGTAGACCAGGCTGGTCTTGAACTCACATATATCCACCAGCCTCTGCCTCTGGAGTGCTGGGATTAAAGGCATGGGCCACCACTTCTCAGCAAGAAAGTGTTCTTAATGGGACTTATAATTAAATACACACACACACACACACACACACACACACACACACACACACACACACACACTGCATCTCATTCAGTGAGCATGTAGAAAAGGCTAACCATTTAGGAAAAAAAGTCTAAGCTTACATTATTCTTTTTATAATCTCTGCTTTTGTTGTCATATTAATATATTATGCCAAATGAGGTGTTATCAAATTATATGGGAAAAACTCTGGGCAAATAAATATGAAGTAAAATTATAAAACTTTGTCATATAGCTTTATAAGTATTTATTTTTATGATTGTTGTAATATTTTAGAAGGTATTTTATATATTCAGCATTCTTCAGTTGAACAAGATAATATTCAAATAAGAGATGTGTGAGTGCTTGGTAAATATAAATTGGTGACAGAAATCCTAAATCAGAGGTGTACTTTTCTCAGAACTTCAGTGCCATGTGTTTAATATAAAATGGAGAATTTCTTTGCAAAGTCTACAAATACCTCAAGAGACTGGGTTATACAACCAAAATAGTTGTATATTTCTCAAATTTCATATTTTTATTGAATTTTGTGTATAGATGCTATTTTCAGGTAATGTTTAGTAACACAAGGTGATCTGACAGAATTTAAATAGAATCTGAAAATATAAATTACTTTTAAGTCTTATTACACTATAAGTTTTAAAAATTAAAGATGTAAAGAATGATTTGTGCAAGATAAAAGTGGACCTAGTTCATAATACCTACTAAACAAAGTTTTTCAAAAACTTTTTGGTTACTTTTCATCTCAAAATCCATTCAAGATATTAGACAAAATGTAAAAAAAAAATGTAGGAGATTGTCCCTTTGTTAACATTGTATCCCCTTATGCAATATGTTGCCTTAGTTGCTGAACAAATCATCTACCCATAGCAGTTTCCCTATTATGTATCTGATTACTCAACTGATTATATATAAAGCTAAAAATCAAACAAGGGCATGAGATATTTCTAATCCTTGAGTAACTGTGTCCCTTGAGCTCCTCCTTAAATTTATCCATTACTTTTCTCTTATTGGTTGATGAATAAAACACTGTTGGAAACATATATAGAAGGACAACCCCATCACAACTCAACAGCCTTACTCACATGAGGGTGTATATTAATAAACAATCAACACAAGCCCCATCATTCTCTCAAGGAAAGTATTATCCAAGTGTTATTGGGACTCACATGAGGAACTGTAAATAAATATGACTATTGATGATAGGAAAAATAAAAACATGAATTTTCACTTCAGGTCTACATTTGATTGAATATGTGAACTTAGGTAAGCTATTTAAGTCCCAGAATTCTTGTTTATTTCACTTTAAAATAAGAATGATATTTAGACTTTGTAATGAAGTTACTATGAGTGAAACAATAATATTTATGCATGAAATAATAACAGAAATGAAATGAGATAATGAACGAGTCTAGAAACATAATGAGAGCCTCGGCTTTAATCCCAGCACTAGGGAGGCAGGTGGGTCTCTGTCAGTTCAAGGCCAGCCTGGTCTACAGAGAGAGTTTCAGGACAGACTCCAAAGCTACACAGAGAAACCCTGTCTCAAAAAGGAGAAGGAGAAGGAGGAGGAGAAGAAGAAGAAGAAGAAGAAGAAGAAGAAGAAGAAGAAGGAATATGAATATTCAATGGTGCAGTTATTTTCTGGCAAAGATTTACCATACTCTACCTTATGTTTGTGCACACCATGGTTAAGGATGTGTACACTTTATCCTGGCATCTGTAAATATTGCATCTGTGTCACTCACAGCAATTGATGGAGTTTCAATCTGTTTATTTGGAAATTTTATTCCTACTTACTATTTATTTAAATCCTTTGTTATTTGTCATGCCTTGAGAAAGTATTTTAAAGCTACAGCTGTTGCTCTTATGGAATTTCTGTTTATGAAAAACAAGATGACATTGAAAGAATGAACTCCTACAGTTGTTTGACATTTATTTAGATTGGACAAAGTAACTCATATTCCTCCACATCAGTGTCTATGCTGTTAGAAACCTATATATGATTCTTCATTGTAATCTATTAAGGAAAAAAAAGATAAAGTAATTTGGAGATATTAGGAGGAAGATTGTTACAGGGTTATAAAACACAAGCACAGAAAGACAAATGTGACAATTTTTTCTCACATGAGGAAACTAGAATTATTGAAAATTTAAAGATAGCCTGAAAGCAATGAAGCAATTGGTAAAGCTAAAATAAATAGTAGGGGAAGAGAATAGTAGGGAAGTGGGTAGGAAAATGTCCTGGTGAAACACATTGATGTAATTTTAATGGAGCTTTAAAATGTGTGTAAGTGTCTACTTCATAAAACCAGGAGAGAAGACCAAGAGCAGTTGAATGTGTGTGGGGGGAACTGTAAAGAGACAATAACTAGTAAAAGTACTATTGATACTTTTAATGTACTATCTTTGGATTCTCGGACCCAGAAAGATGTTTTACTAGAATGGAATTAAGCGCTGCCCCTCTCTCTAACACAAATAATAAAAACCCAGAGACATATATTGGGGTTCAAGCTGAATATAAGTAAAGCAATGAACCACAAGAGAGCTCTTACCTTTACCAAGGCTGGGTAGTCCCTGTCCTCAATGCAGGTGGAGACTAATTGCCTGAACTGAGACCTTGCTCCTGTCTTATATACCTCTTTAGTGCTAGGATTGAAGGCATACACCACCACTGCCCAGCTTTTATGACTAACTAGTATGGGATTAAAGATGTATGCCACCACTGCCTGACCTCTATAGCTGTGGCTAGCTTTGCATTCTGATATTCAGACAAACTTTATTAGGTCAAAAACAATGTATCACCATACCTTCCTTAATGTAAGTGTTAATAAATCTCATGATGCCCTATTTTGTATCCCCATAGTTAAGAACAAAACTAATCCTTGCTTTTCTTCCCACATTTTACATTTCCAAGACTCAATTTAATTTTTCTTGTCTCCTCAGTCTCTAATCACTTCAGAGTACAGTCTTACAATGCCCATATGCTAAAACCAAATGGTAGTAATTAAATAGCACCTAGATAAGAGAAAATATATCAAGTATTATATCATTGCTTTTCATACTTTAAAAATGGAATAGAGGCTTAAACTGATAACAAACTAAAAAGTATTTATTAAATATGACATTACCTTTGATAGTGACAATATAACACCTATCAAATACTTTACTAAGAACAGGAAACGCAGTTTAAAACATGCCTTATTATATAAGTGGAATATAACAAAGCAAAAATATGCAAGAGCAGAGTAGAGCCAGCATTCATAGCCACTAATTTTGTTTACTAGAGACAGCTTCTGGGACTTTGGACAGTCTCTTTGGGAGCACATGTGAATATGAAACCAAATGCACCTTGAAAGAACTGAACTTAATTTCAGATCATTTTAGACTTTGAAATACGATTAAATTGACCTGGTTTCTAGAGTCATTAAAAAGAGTTCCTGCCAAAAATATTTTAAACCCCCTCAAGATCACATTTCTAAAATAATTTGTAT